ATATCAACCAAGTCTAAAAGGCTCTCAGTAGCCAAAAATGGAGCAATCTGAACATCAAAAATAATAACTTCAATGGATTGAAATGTGTCAACTAACCATGAGATCATAATGATGCTAAAACAAATATTTTTGGCTGCCTTTGGAGGATGCTAATGAACCAGCACATTATTCTGAAAACTGGAGAAGAGAGAATAAAAATGAAAAGAAAAAAGAGAAAAGTAACTGACTATATTAATTGATAATATTAAAGAATTATCATTGAATTTTTGAGATATGATAATGATGTGTGGCTAACTTGTTCAAAAGAATTATCATTTACAGGAACATCCTGAAATATTTATGAGTAAAATGATATGATATCTGGATTTGCTTCAGAATAATTCAGGGGGGATGGGGAAGTGGGCGGAGGCTATAGATGAAACAAAATTGACTGTGAATTGATAACTGTTGAAAGGGGTTAATGAATACATGGAGATTTATTATATTATTCTCTCTACTTTTCTATATGTTTGAAATTTTCCATAGTAGAAATATAATTTAATGGAGGCAAAGTTATATTGAGAGCCTGACTTGGGCCCACACTGCTAACCATAATTTCTTAAATTGTTTCTTTGTTTTCTTTTCTTTTAGAAAACAAAAAGAGAGATAAGTCATGAAGTCTTTTCTACCTAAGGGAAAATCAGAACTGCTACAGAGAGAAGGGGACATGCAAGCAATGTCTTTTAAAAAAATGAGTAAATTTTTGCCTACAATTCCAAGCCAAAGATGGAGTGTGGGCAAGTGCATGGTGACCTAGAATTCTGTCATTTCTGGGAGAACTGAAAAAGAGCAGTTCTGGAGCCAGATCGTCTGGGTTCAAATGTCAGTTCTGCCACTTATTCCCTGTGTAACTCTGAGCAAGTTACTCAACCTCTCTGTGCCTCAGTTTCTTCATCTGTAAAATGGAGATGATAGTACCTACCTCATGTGTTGTTGTAAGGATTAATGGATTAATATGTGGAAAGTGTTTAGAACATTGAGTGCCTGGCACATAGTAAGCACTGGGTAAGTGTTGGCTATTGTGATTGTAGTTGCAGTGTATGGTACAGGGAGACTCAATGAGGGATGAGGCTAGGGAAGTAGGTAGCCTTACAGCTTATAGGAAGGAGTGTGTCTTCTATTTGGCAGGGAGTCATTGAAAGGTTTTAAGGAAGGCTAACAGCTAACACTGCTGACTGAGGACAGAAACTTCATTTCTCACAAGTGGTTGAAACATGAATTTCCTACAGTTAATTAAGAAATATTTCAGGGAAAGTTGAAAACTTCTGACTGTGTTTTGAACTGCTATTTCCTTAATAATAAGTAGGTGCCATGGGTTTGGGAAATGACTCATAAGTGGTGACATGACTTAGGATTGTATGAAACTAGGACATCTAAAACTTTCATGCAAGCTCTATGCATACAAATTATATAACTGGAATATGTTCTAAGTGTGTGTTCAAGGCTAGCTATGAATTAAGGGCACTGTGCTTATTATAAAAGGCATAATTCCAGCAATCAAAATTTATTTTTACTTTTTATTATGGCAAATTAGAAACATACACAAAAACCTAGAGAACAGCAAAATGAACATTCCGTACCCATCACTCAGCTCCAACCTTATAGACTCGTGGCCAATCTTATTTCATCTATATTCCACTTGCTACATACCCCTCGGATACTTAGAAGCAAATCTCAGACATAGTATTTCATCTGGAATATGCCAATACCTGTTTCTGAGAGATAAGGACTCTTTTAGAAAGTCTAACCCAGTGACATTTTCTCAACTAAAAAGTTAACAATAATAATTCCTAACCGTTGTCAAATATCCATTCGACCTTCACATTACCCTTATTTTTAAATATATATCCAGGATAACTTCATAAAGATGCTGCGTGCCTCCATAATTAGTATATACCATTGATTGTCTCTCTCTTTGTGATACCATCAGTCATTGATGAGCAGTGCCTGGATCCATTATTCACAGGGGTGACAAAGTGTAATGTTCTGATCTCTCATTCCTTCTTCATTTATTAGCTCTAATATATCTATAGAGAACTTCTCCTCCCCAACTCTTGGGCTTATATAACAACAACAGAAGTGCTTCTTTCCCTGTATTTACCAGTTTTCAATATAAAGAGTTGTTTCCCAAGCATCTTCCCAAGGTGACTAATGAGCTATCTTTATTTGTATCAGTGTGAACTTGTGCATTTTAAGCATGTTTATATTTAATATGTTTTGAGCCACTACAATTATAATCCATGTTGACAAATTGTCCCATCTACAATCAGTGGGATCATCTTCGACTTGCCTTCTGGATCCTTTTCTTAGGACTCCTGCCCTTTCCACTCTAACAAAGCATTCCTTTCTTTCTGGTATGCAGGCTCATCGTGTTGGCCCACGTGGCTTGACGCTTTGTCAGAGGTTCCTCTTGGTGACAGTGTTGCTTCAAAAATGTCAAGAAACCCGTATTCCCTTATCCTACCCCCATCTGCATGGCTTTTTCCGCCTTTCGGGTCTGAAAAAATGCCATGGAGCCAGAAGGCTTCTGGAAAGGAGGTTGCCTGCTGCCAGGTTTGCAGGAAACCTGTTCACTGCTGCGGTACTTGCTTTTCTTTTTTGAATCAGAAATCAATCTGAGGTATAACCTACAAACATCATTTCTAGAATTCCATTTCTACTCAGCCTAGGCTTTGTGAGTTCATACTAGTTAACATCACATTAGATCCCGCAAATTTCCCCGTGTTGTCAGGAAATGCTGCAAGCTAAAGGCCTAGAGGGGGGCATCCGCCACCAAGCCTTGAGGTCCCGGGCCTGTGCATGCCTTCCGGACTGCAGGTGGCCCCTTCATTTGCAAACCCATATACTAAGCCAGTGGTTCTAAAAATGTGGTATGTGGATGCTTCGGGCAACACCGGGAACTTGTTAGAAATGCAAATTATGGAACCCCACCCCCCCACACACGATGCTCGCCCAGAAGACGCACACGCTTCTTATTTTCTTTACTTTTATTTCAGAAATAATGTTTTCTCTTACCATTTAGAAAAATCATCCACGCTGCCTGCAAGGTTTTCAGAAAAGAAGGAATTACATTGTGGAAATAAATGGCAAACATAAACCCAACATCCTAGCAATAATTTCTCATTCTTGTACTTTATGCTCACATATTTCAAAATTTCCATGTTTATGTTTATGTGAATATATTTTTATATAATTGAGTTCACTTGTACATACCATATCAGATCATACTTTTCCATTTCTGTATGTACTGTTATATGCCATTTTCCAGTAACAATAACTTGTGAATGTATACTTTACAATTTTAGAATAAATATGTATTACGTGATTATAGTGAAAAATTCAGAAATACAGAATCATAAAATAAATATTTCAAATCTCAACTCAACTTTCTAGAAATATATTCAATATTATTGGCTTGATTTGCATAATTTCAGACTGTATTCACAATCATTCAATTATATCTAATATATGGGCATGAATACAGAATGCCTAGCATTCTTCACTACAATCTATATAAAACTCATCACTCATCTTGTAAGATAATATTTAACTACATAGATATGCATAATTATAAACAATACATTATACATTTTCCCTTTTATCCAATTAAGTTCATGTCACACAGTTTTCATGCCCTCAATTCATTATTTGCCCTCATAACAATGTCCCATATAGTTATTCTCAAAGTGCTTGGCATTTCTTTATGTTTTTATAGATTTAAAAAAACTAGTGTTTATTCTGATTGGAAAGTCAACACATTCATTTACAAAGTTTACAAAAATTTTAAATGATAAAAAAAATCATTTACCTTTATTCCTCATATAAAATGACACATTTAAAATTTTAGGTGCATTTCATTTTATGCATATATAATATTTATATTTCACATAATTTTTTACGTAGTTTTATACAATATTTTTGCATTCATTATATTATGATTGTTACACGTTTTTATTCCAAAAATAATCCAAAAAATAAAGATCTAAACAGGCTAATCCTATCCCTCAGTTCTAATGACTTCTTAATTTAATTAGCAGTATGATTTAATTAGTAGTATAACTTCTAATTTTAATTCACCCAAATGTAGATTAAATGTTTTTATAACAAAATATCAATATACATATACCTTTGTTTCACTTCCTTGATTGATTTAGGGGTTTCTATTTCTTTTTTTTTTCCTCAGTAGCTTTGAAATTGTATTTTCTATTCTTATTTTAATGTTTATATAGAATTCTTAACAAACCAAAACCTACATTTTCCTACCAATAAGTAAACTTAATCAACATCTCTCAAAGCTGGAGGACTACACGAGTTCAAAACTGACTTTATTTTTTTTCCCCCTTGAAAATTGTTTAAAATTTCATTTATTTATTTATTT